AGGCCGAGGCGGTCAGCGAGCCCGACGACGGGTTCCTGTCGGTGCATCCGCGACTTGTATAACTGCACTCGTTTACATAGTAAGGGCCACTACAGTAATGCTACCACCTTAACAAATAAATACGAGCAACTTAAAATATGACATTGATACTCTCGTTTTCGTCTTCGAAGTTTTAGATCTCTTACTATTCTTATTGAGATAATATTTATTTTTTATCTCGTTTTGTCTTCATTAAACTTAGCATTGGTAAATAATAAAGCTAATAAAATATAAAACAAATAACAAACACACATAAAAACATAACTGATACATAAAAATGCATGCAGATTTAAGATTCAGCAAAGCACATGCAAACATATTCAACGCGTTATTATATCTGCCGTATCTACAGTATGATAAGTTGGCACATGCAAAATTGAAATACAAATGTCTCTTCATACACCAAAGTTTGTAATTTGCTTCTCTCGTTGAATTAGTGAAGCAATATGAAGACATTGTGGAGGGTTGAGTCGACGTCTATTGCACGCAGGCAATCGGGGGATAAATTAAATCATAGAAGAACAGAAAATAACATTACAATCTAAGCTGCAACCAAAAATCACTGTAAATTGTCAAATAAAAATAATATGGCGACTATAACACTAGAACACCTGGAAGGCAAAGGCGAGAAGCGACGTGGCCACTGACAACATCTATGACAAGACAAACGTGGGCAGAGTGTGGGCGTGCGCAGTGTGTGTGTGGGCGTGGTATCCACTGCGGACACTAACTATTGTGCGTGTACGTGGCATTGAATGCAATAAATTAGGACGAGTCCACGCGTTACCAAGAATAATTTGATTCAGTATTATTGAAGATTATCCAGTATATCCTAGAAAATTAAATGTAATGAGAAATAAATTTTATACTAGAAAATTTAGGTGTACGAAAACATGTTGGACACGAAGTTTTATCATATTACAAGTAACTTAAGAAGTAAATATTGATGTGTATATCAAGGCAAATTGGACGATGGACTTAGTGGCTTTGAAGTGAAATCAATGAGCGAATATGTCGAGCCCGCAGTGGAGTGGTGTGCAGTACAAAGTGCGTGTAGTGTGGTGTGTGGTGTGCGGTGTGCGGTGTGCGGTGTGCGGTGTGCGGTGTGCGGCGTGTCGACTGACCGCGCGGTGGGGGCGCGGCGCGGCAGGGAGCCGTCGCGTCGCGCGCCGCACGCCGCGCACTCGGCCGCCTCCCGCCTGCGCGCACGCACAAGTCACGCACACAGTATACATACATACATCTCGTTATACAGCACTACAACAAGATGTACAGACACAATTCGCAACGAAACGTATGCTGTTTGAGGAACAAACTAGGACCAGACGACGACACATTTTATATAGTTAAAGCCTATGTTTAAAAATCATTTACATATCCTTAAAAAACATTAGTGTATATGCATTAAAAACCATTTCCTCAAACCATCACCTTGATACATGTGGAACATATTTAATAAGCAGTAGGAGATAAATCCATAACAAACAAGAAAAGACGCAAAAACAGAAAAAAGAATATAAACATGAAGTTACACCCATAACCTGTATTAGTACGCGGCGGACATTACTCGAGGCGGAGGGCGCAGGGCGGAGGCGGAGGGCGGTAGTGCGGCGCGGGGAGGCGGGGGGAGGCGGCACTCACCTCGTGTAGTCCGTGTAGCTGTGCCGCAGGACCTCCACTTTGCGACCTCTCTCTGAGGCGAAGCTATTCCTTTGCAAGACCTCGTTATCGTTCTTCGGCGTGGAGGTGTGCACGTCGTCGTCGAGCGCCTGGTTGGAGAGGCTGCGGAAGCGGTGGCGCAC